TCCAGGTCGTGTGATTTATTGGCTAGGGATGCCAATAACTCAGTTTAGTCCCACAGATCTTGTTCAAAGATAATGGCTCAGAAGGGCACAATGGCATAATTTTCATGGCAGTAACATAGTTAATATATCAAGACACAGGCAGTCGATATATAAAATAAATACTAACACCCTGTTTTCCCCGAAAAAAGACCTAGCCGAAAAATAAGCCCTCGCATGATTTTAGATACTAAAATATGGCACGTTGGCATACTGAATATTTTAAGCTGAAGGAGTTTGTGGAAAAGGTGCCCTTCTCCCTGAAACAGGTCATAAAACCCTCATGTGAGGGGTGCGTGCCTCCATATCCTGGAGGAATCATGCTACGGCTTATTCTCCAGCTAGGTCTTGTTTTGGGGGAAACATGACAATTGTTATTTCAAACTCTGTGCCTTCTGTAATGTCAGTCCCTAGTATCTCACCCCCTTCTGCCCACCACACACACACACACTTCTAAGATGTGATGAAAATATCAACACTATATTGTCTGCCTGAAATTTTAGGTACTTTTCTCTTTACCAATCCTAGCAAATCCAAAATCTGTTCATCAGATTTGGTACATACATTTTTTTTGAAAACTTAAAAAAAACACACAAAACCTGATTGGTTTTAATTGATGTAGATACTGAGAATCAACAGTCCTGGATTCAAGTCCTGATTCTGCCACTAACGTGTGTATCACTGGGTGTCAACTCTCATGTACTTATTGCTTCTAAATTCCTAATTTTTATGTTTCTATTAGCAAGCATCAACCTTTTGTACCACAAGTGCTGTTGCTTTCTCTAGATTATAAACAATTGCACTACAAACAAAATCTCTAAATTTAATTTGTAGAGTACACACATTCCTGGGGACATAATCTATACTGTTTGGTGCTGAGAAAGAGCTAGAGAATTATTAGAATCCTCAATGTATTAAATGGTAAATTAATGGGGCAGGTGACAAAAATAAGTAATTTTCTCAATCATTTCTGTAATAAAACAACTACTGAACCAACCAGTAATAAAGGAAAGCAATAAGGAGAGAGAATATACAAAGCTTAAGACTATAGAGGAAACCAACTTGATGCTGTGATAATGACAAGATCCTATGTGTAGAGATTTTCTGTATCCTCTTTATTACTTATTTTCTCTCTTCTTACAGTCAGCAAAAGAAGAAATATAAACATTAATAAGTTTACCAAAGATGTGTTTCAAGAATAGCAACTGACCTACTGATGTATAAAGGTTGAGTGACCTAATTCCATCCCTTTAATGAGCCCAGTTCTGGGGCAGGCCTGATTTTTAAATAACTATCTCAAGATGAGATATTCAATGAAGTTGGCTTTTTCCCCTTGTGCCACCACACTGAGAGAAACAGCATACAAGAGAAATCAACTGAACTACTTCAGTTTGAATTCCAATCACAAAGGACTTAAATCATTAAATGCAGATCTGATCCAATATCAAGGTTATATACTCTATTATTGAAGAAGGGCTAAAATAGATTGCATATAGGGTGGGGGAAGGGTAACAGGAGAATTCATTGACAGTAAGAAACAGGATAACTCATTTGTGGCTACTCTTATGGTTCCTACATAGAAAACAAGTGGTTAAGAGCCTTGAACAATCTGAACACCACAGCAGTTGAATATGATCACGGGGCAGGCCAAAACGTTAGTAATTACAACACTATAGGTACAGTTTTGGCAAACTGATGGACTTTTTAAAAGTCTGTATTTCTTTTATTCATTTATGTTATGTTTCTGTAAGGATGTAAAAAGGTTAAATTTGAAGTGCTGAAACAAGTTACTAAAAATTTATCCAGTAAATTGTTAGTGTAATATCCATTTTGATACAAAGTTGTGCTAAAATTTTTTTTACTTATGTTACCACTGTTTCTTTTAAAATTATATAGACAGAAACACTAATTTGAGCCTGAAAGCTTTTACAATTGATGGCTGCTCTTAAGCCAACTGTGTGGTTTTAAATTTTTTATTATCTATCAAAATCAATATTTCCTGCTTCAGAGAAGCTCTACGTTTTTATAAATTATTATGCTCACATTAAGATTACCAGTGCTAAAGTAACTCTAAAGGGGATCATGCACCCCGCTTTGGGCCACCTGCCACCACCTGGTATGGGTGCCTTTCACCCTTCTTACAAGCCTGCTGACAGCTGGCTTGCTGCTCTGGAAAAGCTCCTTTGGTTTGGGGGGATGTATTAGTTCCCTATGACTGCTGTAAGAAATTACACAAATGTAATGGATTAAAATAACACAAATTTATTCTCTTACAGAAGTCCAAAATCAGTTTCACTGGCTCAAGTGGAGGTGTCAGCAGGGCTGGTTCCTGCAGAGGCTCTGCGGGGAGTCCCCTTCCTGGCTTTCCTCCATCTGGAGCTTCACCCCTCGCATGTCTTGGCTCCTGCCTGCTCCCTCCATCTTCAGAGCCAGGATCCTAGCATCATCCATTCTCTCTCTGCTTTGGTTACTTCATGTTCTCCTCTGTAGTCTGATTTTCCTCTGCCTCCTTCTTATAAGGACCCTTGCAATTATATTAGACCCACCTTAATAATTCAGGACGGTCTCCCGCACTTCAAAATCCTTAGAGTTGAAAGTCTATTTTGCCATGTTAGGTAACATTCACAGGTTCTGGGGACTGTGTGTGACATGGACATTTATGGGGAACTTTATTCACTGTAACACAGGAGATGTACTTGGGGGTGAGGTGGGGACAGGGGACAGGTGGAAAGCCCTTGTAACATTTTTAGATAGTAATAGCATATGTATATGTTGAATGCTTTCTATGTGCCCACCTGGGCACCATTCTGGACCCTCTGTGAGCATCAAGTCATTTTACTGCAGCTGAGGAGTGGGACTGGCACTCAGTTGCGACATACCAGTGGTCTTGCCTCAGTAGTTCTCAGCACCTCTGACCGGTCAGTGTTTATGCCCAATGCCACACGACCAGACAGTGGAAGAGCCAGGTGCAGATCCTGCTCCTCTGGCTCCAACACACGAGTCTAACCACTCGACTTGACCACAGTTCCTGCCCCTTATTTGAGTAGCAGACTGCTGCAGAGATCTTCATCCCAGGGCACCAAGAGCCCTGCATTTCACAGCTGAGCAATCTAAAGGCTTTAAGAAATGAATTGAAACTGAACTAATTAAAATTGAGAGATTAAGTGATTTACTCAAGGCTACACAGCGAGTTGGTAAAGCCACTGGGGACATATTGTGCTCTTCTCCCTACTCAGCTCTCCCACTTCTCAATGGCAACCTCACATTATGGGCTGAGCTGTGTCACCTCTCCCATAACCACCACCAAACTCATATTTTGAAGTCCTAACTCCTTATACCCCAGAATGTAACTATATTTGAAGATAGGTAAAGCCTTTAAAAAAGTGATTAAGGTAAAAAAAGAGGCCTATAGGATGGGGCCCTAATCCAGTATGACTGGTGTCCTTTTAAGAAGCGAAAAAGACTCCAGAGATGGGCATGCACAGAGAAAAGGCCGACGAGGATAGAGTGAGAAGATGGCCTTCTGCACGCCAAGGAGACAGGCCTCAGGAGAAGCCACACACCATGATCTTGGACTTCTAATTTCCAGATCTGTGAGAAAACTAATTTTTATTGTTTAAACCATCCAATCTGTGGTATTTTGTTGTGGCAGGCCAGCAAACTAATACCCCCCAGGTAGGCCAAAGGCCTTAGAAACTCTTTGGACCAGAGGCAGCTAGCCCACGGTCCAGACTCCTGAGGTTTCCCAGATGCAGAAACAGAGTTTCTAAATAATTTTCAATGCCTATAAAAAGCCTAAGGGAAATGTACAAAATATAGTCTAACTAAAATTCCAAATTTCACTGCTTTGGGGTGAAATTATATCAAGTCAATACAGTAACATCAGTTATTTCATATTCATCTGAATCTTTAATTATAACATGTCTTTAATTTAAAATGAGAAAATTATTTACCATTTAATAAAGTTGATTTGTTTGGTAAATAAAAACTTCGGCTTTTTGATGGAGATAGATTGAACAGGAATCACTGCTTTAAGCCCTGATTCTTTTATTTGGATCTTCCAAGACCCATGCTGTTTAATCCTCTTCAAATTGCTAGAGCTTTTTCAGGAGTGAACTGAGCAAATTATATGGCTTTAGTCACTCGTCACATCAGGGATGTTGAGAGCCATTGTTTTTAAATCTGTATCATTGACATTTGCTAGGTGCTATATATCTAGTTATTTTTTTCTGAGAGTCAAAATTTTAAGTGAAAATGATCCCAAGTGTATTAATCAGGGTTCTCCAGGGAAACTGAACCAATAGGACAGATATATAGATATATAGAGGGTGATTATTATTATAAGTGATTGGCTCATATGATTGTGGAGGCCAAGAAGTCCCACGATCTGCCATCTGCAAATGAGAGAGGCCCAGGAAAACAGGTGGTATAGTTCCAGTCCAAACCTGAAGGCCTTAGCACTAGGGGAGCCAATGGGGTAGACCCCAGTCCAAGTCCAAATGCCTGAGCACCGATGTCTGGGGGCGGGAGAAGATGGATGTCCCAGCTCAAGCACAGAGAGCTTGCACTTCCTCTGCCTTTTTGTTCTGTTCAGGCCCTAAACAGATTAGATAATATTCACCGAAATTGGTGTGGGTGATCTTTACTATGGATTCAAATGCTAATCTCTTCTGGAAACACCCTTACAAACACACCTAGAAATGTAGGCATCCCATAGCCCAGTCTAGTCGACACTTAATATTAACCATCACACCACGAGAACAAAAATATGAAAATAACCTAATTAAATAGGTGACTGGACCTAGCTCTCTAATCTAACAGAAGCAAAATTAAAAAGGCACAACACCCAATACATGTACTAGAGTATCAAGCACCTTCAGTAGAATGTAACTGAAAATTTGGAAAACAAATTTGAAACAGAAATTTGCATTTTATTTAAAAAATAATAGCAAATGTATGAGGAACACAAGTTTTTATTAAGAACAGAAGTTTATTAAATGCTTTATAGTAAAATATTGAGCCCATTCTATAACAATACACAGGCTTGATGTTCTAACAAGTAACACTGTGCCTCAATTCAGGGAAGCTCATGATGCCAACACAAGGTGGAATTGTAGGGACCTATAAATACTGGGTTGTCGAAAAAGTCATGACGTATTTTTCTGTTTTTCATTGCAAAAATGTGTCATGACTTTTCCAACAACCCAATAGAAACATACCCTCCTTCTCTTTGACAGTAACTACAATACTGATGTTCAGAAAGGCTTAGGCATTGGGAAAAACCTGTGAAGTTTCCTGAATATTCCATTAAACAATTCTTAAAATTGTTACCTTAATGGAAAACATGACAATTTTTTCATGGAAACATCCATTTTAACATTTATTTTCTTCAATAAGTGAGAATCACAATCCTAAAAATGTATTATACCATTAGCAAGGCTTTGGAGTCATTTTAAGGCTTTCCAGTCAAGGTAAATTTCAAGGTAATGTATCAAGGACTAAATTTTCTTGAACCACCAAGCTAGTGATATGTGAAGGTAAAAGGAACTGTCGAGGTTAGCTGATTATTTTTCACATAAAAGAATCTAAAAAATATTGGGGGCAAATAAGGATGAGAGAACGAGTGGATATTGGATGATAATAGAGATGGCTCGCAAAAGGTACTGAGACTACTTAGCATTAACCAACATGTAACATATTTTCATTCATTAGTCAACATTTTCTTCATGTATATAATTATCTCAAGGTAGCATTTCTAAATAAGTAATTGGTCCATTCATTTTTCAAATCAGTCACAAAGAAATTTCAGTTCTGACTATCTAAAGTAATAGCTGATAGCATTTTGATTATTTACCCCTAAGAATATCTCCCATTCTGTCATGGCTCTTAAAAACATGGTTTCCTGATAAAATATCACTAAAGTAGAACTGATGTTGAAAAAAATACTACGTAACTATCAACTTAACCAATTCATATCAATTAGCTCACATACAACTAAGCCAATTCATATTATTTAGCTTGCATAGAAGCTAGCTAGATCTTTTTCCTTTTAAATAATCTCACCAATCCTATATAGAGCAATTATTACAAAACTCACACCTAAGAATTGCACTCACATTCATTTATAAATATATATTGAGGCTTGGGCCTGAATTTGGTACTTCTAGTCCACACTTTGATATCCTACCTTTTCCAAACTGGACATGTCATTCTATGAATATAACCATCAATGAGAACTTAAAAGTAATGGAAGGGAGCTTTAATTCAGATGGAAGTATTTTGTACTCATATTAACAAAAGATACCATGCTTTCAAAGGAATGGAAAAAATAAAATCATATGTGATAATATAGAGTACTGCAATCTTAGTAACCCAAACATACAGCTATCTCCATTACAAAATTAAGCAGCCATGTCTAATACACTACAAACCATTTGATTAAAAAGGCTGATAACCAATGCTTTAACAATGAAACACTGGTGAAAATAGTTTTAAAATATATAGCCTTGTAAAATGATATATTTTTTAACATTAAAACCTTGTTTCAGAAGTTCCCCGCTTTAGGTTGTTACTCAAAAACTCATCATGTTCAAAACTCAAATTATTGTGAGATCTTGAAATCATAAGAAGCTTCTCCTTATTGGTAAAGTCTTTTTTGATTGCAGCCTGGGGCACAAGCAACCGCTCCATGGGGTCCTCTTTGTTCTCTAGTTTCACATATCCTTTGCTATTGCTTCGATCCAGCCGAGGCCAGCTTGGATGTTTCCGCTGCTCTGCCTGAACAGTTAGGGTGGAGTGACCTCGGTCTAAGTCTAGGGATTTGGAATGTGACGAGAGCAAGTGCAAAGATGTGTTGGACCCAAACTGTCTCCTGGCAGCCCCAGGAGACAAGAGCTGTCCAGCCCCAGGTCCAAGAGCCACAGAGGACTTGTACTGACTCGACAGTGACTCCCCCATGGAATTATTCCGGGGGAGCACCATGCTGACTGGCTGGAAGGACTCACCGGCATTGGGCAAGGGGACCACAAGGGAATCCATGGACAAATTCCTTGACCTACTTTTGAGGTTCTCAGAATCCTTGGTGATGTTATCTATACTGGGCTCATCAATAACACAGTTATTAAGTTTGATCACAGGCAGCGTAAAAGCACTGATGGACGATGACACAATTGACTTGGTTTCACATTTCTTAGGGCCGCTGGTCTTCTCTTCAGTTTCCTTGGAAGGAGGTGGATAGAGGCCAAAAACAGAGACAGAGCTGTCAGAGAGCAAAGGCGGCATAAGATGCCCAAAAGTCTTACTTTCACTTAGCACAAGCTCATCCTCCTCAACAGAGCTGTCCACCCGAAAACTCCTAAAACCCGAGAAAGAGGCAATGGTATTTGCTGCCATTCTGGAGGCACAGGAGCTGCCATTCTGTTTTACTTCTGTTTCTCCCATCAGACCAGTGTAGACGCCATTCATATGCTTTTGCTCCTTGATTCTTAGCGTGTGGATGTCAATGACTGTGGAATAGATGTCCCTCATGTGTATGATTTTGGTTTCTTTGTCACGGTTCTCATGAAGAATGGCATTAGCACAAATGAATATGAAAATGCCAATTCCCATTGTGAAAGGGCCAAGCATTTTCATTTTATCAGAATGTAAATGCTGCTCAAAGAAGCGAACCACCACACCGCCTTGGTTCCGAATGACCTGGGTTTCGTTTGTTGACAGTGTTGTCTCAGCATCGATAAAATGTTCTTTTTGGGGCCAATATCCAAGGACTGCCATTGCAATTCCTACAATAGAGATAAGCACTCCTAAAATGAGGAAAAATCCAGATGGGGAATAAAGCCGAATTTTGCCTCGAACAACCACAACATCGGCCCGAGGCCGACGCCTGACGGGTTTCTTCTCTTCAGCAGCAGGAGACGGGCTGAGGTTGACATGATGCTGTGATCTGGCAGAGTCTTGCCTTTTCAAGGCGGCCAGGCCAGTTATCACTCCACCAGTCGCTATCATAGCTTGGTCTTTTATTCTGAAAAGAAGGGGAAAAGATGATTATCTAAATATGTTCTGGGATATGCTCATCAATTCAACAATTATTTATTT